GGGCCCAGGCCACAGTGCTTCCTCTGTGAGGCAGAGCCCCAGCCCCCAGCGGGGAGCTGACTCAGCTCCATAGAGGCCTCGGGATTGGCTGGGGCAGCCGGCTTTCCCAGAACAGCAGTCTGTCCCCCTCCCAAGGGGGTGATAAGCCCTCTCCCTAGCCAAACAGAGGGCTTCTAGAACTTGTGAGGCCTGACATGCTGAGGGCGGGGCAGAGGGGTTCAACCCTGAGGTTAGGGGCAGGGCAAGCCTAGCCCGTAGTCCCATTCCCAGTGCAGGGCTTTGCCCGGCTGGCCTCCCTTCTGAGCCCAGTCCGCATTCGGGGTGCAGTTCTCGCCCCATGGAGTGAGGGTGGGTCCACTCTGCCATCTTCCTTCTGCCGTGGCCGGGCCCCTCCATCACAGCCCTGACCCGCCGGAGCCCTGCCTGCCCGGTGGATGGGACTGCGGGCCCACCTCCCTCCTTGCCCTGCAGGAGTCTCTCTTCCCCGCCCGCGTGGTCTACGACCTCCTGTTCTTCTTCATCGTCATCATCATCGTGCTGAACCTCATCTTCGGGGTGATCATCGACACCTTTGCTGACCTGCGCAGCGAGAAGCAGAAGAAGGAGGAGATTCTCAAGACCACGTGCTTCATCTGCGGTGAGGCCTGCTTCCCACCCGCACAGGCCTCGGGGGACCCTGGCCCGGGCATGATCTGGGCCAGGGGCAGCCTCAGTTTGGCCCTTCCCTGGGTTCCTGAGGCCCCTGGGGAACCCTGCCCTGGGGCTGATGGCTGGTTGGCTGTTTGCTCATCTCAGAATTGGGGACCACAGGCCCTGCCTGAACTTGGAGTAACAGAGGGAGCGGGAAAGGGCCTCAAAGCACTCCTTTAAGCTCGCTCAACTTACAGAGGCCCCCAAGCCCAGGCAGCAGCCTCGAGCCTCTGGTCTCAGTCCAGGGCTTTCCCATCCCTGGTATGAAGTGCTGGTCCCTCCTGCGGCCGCAGGCTGAGGAATAGGTGTCGCCTGTAGGCAGCCCTGCTTCTCCGGCGTCCTCAGGTGCCTGGTGAGGGCTGCCGCTGGGGCAGGGCAGACGTCCACGCCACGTGGCTGCTGCTTAGTATAGGGGAGCTGAGTGTCCCCGAGTGGGCAGTGCCTGCACTCACCAGACCGAGCCTGACAACAGAGGTGGTGTGTGCGGCCCGGGTGGCCCACAGGCTCCTGGAGGCGGGTGGTTTCACCCTCGCCCTCTGCACCCTCAGGTCTGGAGAGGGACAAGTTTGATAACAAGACGGTGTCGTTTGAGGAGCACATCAAGTTCGAGCACAACATGTGGAACTACCTGTACTTCATTGTGCTGGTCCGCGTGAAAAACAAGACAGACTACACAGGGCCTGAGAGCTACGTGGCCCAGATGATCAAGGTGTGGTCCTGGGAGGTGGCCGTGGCCGCCTGCACTGACTGTGGAGGCCTGGGGGAGGGGCGGGACAGCCGTGGACACTTGGTGAAAAGCCAGCAAGGAGCCGAGGAGGCTGGAGCCAGCCCTGGGGCTCTGCTATCGAGAGAGAGAGAGAGAGAGAGAGAGAGAGAGAGAGAGAGAGAGAGAGAGAGAGAGAGAGAGAACAGCAAACCCATCAGCCCCAGCGGCCGGTGTGATATTCCGGGGCCGTGGCTGCTGCTCTGGACGTTGGGAGGGAATGTACTGTCGCCTTTGGGGTCAAGGAGAACAGTTCCAACGAGGGTGCATCTTCTGTGGCCGCACAGCAGAGGCCTCGCAGGCTGGAAGCAAAGACCCATTCAGTGGGGAAGAGTCCTGTTTGCTTGTGAATCTGCAATGTGAGCTGGTTGGAGTGCAGGTCTATCAGCTGCTCTGAGGCTCACAGCTTGCTCCACGGAACCAGAAAGCAGCTCGGTCCCTCCCTCCTGTCGTGGGAAACGTGGCTGGGCCCCAGACACGGCAGATGCAGGCCTCCTGCTCCTGCTCCATCCGTCCCACTCGCATCTTCCTGGAGCGTGCGTGCGGGGGGAGGGGGAAGGGAAGGAAGGAAGGAGATTCGGGGTTTGGTGCGGAGGCCTCCCCTCCACCTCGGAGGGGCCGAGTGAACAGATGGTGCCGATAGCGGGAAAGGCGGAGCGGCTAATGGAAGCCAGCTTGTCCAGTGCTGGGCCCTGACCGCAGAGGGCTCGCTGCCAGCTCACTCTGGCTGGGGAGGACCGGGCATCGGCCTCCCCGACACGTCCTGGGAGTGTGTCGCCAGGGCTGGTGGCACCGCTTGCTCACCCGCTGGCCATCTTTTTCAGAACAAGAACCTGGACTGGTTCCCCCGGATGAGGGCCATGTCCCTCGTGAGCAACGAAGGGGAGGGGGAGCAGAACGAGATCCGGATTCTTCAGGACAAGCTGAGCTCCACCATGAAGCTGGTGTCCCACCTCACCGCCCAGCTCAACGAGCTCAAGGAGCAGGTGTGTGCCCAGCGCTTCCCCCCGCCCCGCCCTCAGCCTGCACTGGGCAGCCTCAGGCCACCCTGAGCTCACAGCCCAGCCTGCCCTGTGGGGGAGGGAATAGGTGCTGGGGCCTGCATGTCCCCCATGTCCCCCCTTTCTTCCTGGCCCCCGTCCTTGGGTCTGGGGTAGAAGACGGGTCCCAAACACTCTCCCCTCTGTGGAAAGCTAGACTGGGGGTGGCAGCCCAGCCCCAGCCCCTGAGACACAGCACCCCCTCCATCGGGCAGCGGCAGAGGCGAGGCAGCCCCTTTTGGGTGGGGCGGCTTCCCAGCTGCACAAAGCAGGGGCTGGGGCTACATCTCGCTGCCCCGAGGGCCTTGGCTGGCCGCCAGTGCTGAGCGGCAGCGGGGCCCATAGTGGGAGGGCGGGCGCCAGCCCCTCGGCAGTGCCTGTGCAGAGGGTGCCGGGGGCCTGACCTGTTGGCATCGTTTAACCACAGATGACCGAGCAGCGGAAACGCAGGCAGCGCCTGGGCTTTGTGGACGTCCAGAACTGCATGAGCCGCTGAGCCCGCGAGACCCGCCGAAGCCTGCGCCTGCGCCGGTACTGAGCTGTGGCTGGGAACACTGCCCTTCTCTCGGTCGGGTGGCCCAGCCAGCCCACCAGCTCGAGGCCAGGTGCCCACCCAGCCTCCAGCTCCTGCTCTGCCAGACTCCCCCGAGCCAACCCGGGTGCTGGCCAGCACGGAGGGGGAGCCTCAGAAACTCACTGGGACTCAGTTTACCTTATTGCCTTAAAGACGTCCTCTTACAGGATTGCTTTGTCCCTTAAAGCAGTAACTGACATTCCTCTACTCCTCCTGGGGGCGATTAGGAGTGGGGTCGCCTCTTTATTCCAAGCACTACATTTTGGTTGCTGCCCGCCTCCGGGGGAGGTGCCGTGATGCTGTTGCTGGGACACTAGGGCTGTTACTTAACTTATTCCCGGGTGCCCAGCCCCGCACGCCTCCTGTGCCTCAGGTCTGCCGTAGACAGTGCAGACTGTGTCCCGGCCGCCCCTCGGCGTGGCCCAGCCCCAGCCCCAGCCCCAGGGGACTGCCGGCCGAGGGTGGAGGCCCTGCCTCTTCCCGGGCCTCTGGGGGCCACAGGCTGAGGGGGCAGGGCTGGGTGCGTGACAGTGGCTGGTTTTTGACCGCTTGTTTTTTCTCCTTTTGGTGTAATGTTTTACAAATCCTTTGGCCTGAGAACTAATATGTTAATTACCTAAATAAATTAATAGAAATATAGTTCATTAGAAAGGCCTGCCATTTCCTCTGGCCCCTGGGGCTGTGGGGGCTGACGTGGCCCGCTGTCCCGGCCTCACCTTGGCCCTGGGAGAGGCTGAGCCGCCGCCGGGGACTGCACACAGGGTCCCCGGACGAGCTGGAGTGGTACTGGTGTCGCCGGTTTTGGTCATGCCCTGTGCCTGTCGTGTGCGTCCCAGCACTGGAGCCCACTTGGCTTCTCCCCATGAGCGCTGTGGGTCCTGCCTGCCCTTCTCAGCTCAGGTCCGAAATGTGAAGGCCCCAGTAAGAGCTAAGGTTCCATGGAGCGGAAAGGTGGCCCGTGTGTGTCCCACAGAAGCCACCACAGCCCCAGGCCCCGGCCCCGGCTGTCTGTAGCCCCACTCTGCCCCTTAAACCAACCGGACACAGGTTTCCTGCAAGGTCGGGGCAGAGGACCAGCTCTGTCCTTCTGAGGCCTGGGCACGGGGCTGACCACCTGCCTTCTTCCAGGTTGGCCAATTTTGGCTATTTCCCAGGAGCTCCCAGCCAGACCTACCCGCCCCCCCCCTGCCCCCCAGGGGCTCCTACGGCTACACAGGAAGCCCTGGCCTGGAGGCCCAGCCCCTTCCCTTCCCAGGCTGGGCTGGAGCCCCCGCCTCCTCGCCCCTGGAGAAGTCCCACCCTGACCGTGGGCTGCTGCTGGGCACGCCTGCTCGGGCGCAGCTTTCCCTGGAACGGCGGTGGCGCAGCGTCCTCTGTGGGGCTGGCTGAGTCCCAAGCAGCGTCGCGGGGGTCAGGGAGCTTTATTTATGACGGCAATACACAGACTCCACTCAGGTCCGCGGGCGAGATAAGGACTGAGCCCAGGCCTTCTGCTTCTCGGGACTCCTGGTGGAGAACTTCTCCTGCAGTTTTTTCCACAAGCCTTTATTCATGTCCTTCAGCTCCCCCAGGGTGTCTGCAAAGGGCAAGACGGAAAGGAGGCTGACGTCTAACATCTGAGGCCGGGTATTGGCCCCACAGGCCTTCTTTTCACACAGTCTGTCCCCGAAAAAGGGACGTGTAAACCCAACTTCTCAAAAGCAAGTCAGGTCACAGGAAAATAACCGCCAGCGTGGACTGAGCACTCGTGTACCAGGGCCGGGCTCAGCACACCGCACCCTCCCACTCAGCACCAAGCCACGCCCTCGATGCCTGGGCTGCACGTGCGTGGGCAGATGGAGACAGTAAGGTGTGTGTGGCTCAGGCAAAGCCTGGCCTATGCCACACACCTGACTGTCTCCATTTTTCAGGGGTAGAAACAGGCAGAGGGAGGTTAAGCAAGTTGCTCAGGTCGCACAGCCAGGAAGAGGTAGAGGGGGGATCTGAACCCGGGCGCTGTGGGGCCCCGTGCTGAGCTGAGCAGGCACTGGGGAGGGAGACGGACCTGCGCAGAATCCCTGCCCATCATTCCCCCACTGGGTCCCCTCCAAACCCCTTTACCCTTTAGCCTCAGGCTATACCTGCCTCAAAAGTTGTGAGGATGAAAGGCAATCATGGAGGCAGCTTGCCTGGCACCTGACCTGCACCCAAGGAGAGGGGCCATCTGCATGGCTGTGACGGCAGCAGGGGGCTGGCGGGAGGCCATGGGCGCCTTGTTTAAGCGTGAGCACGCGCGAGCACACACACACACACACACACACACACACACACACACACGCAGCCCCCAAGGAACCAACGCTGGGGTTCTCAGTCTTGGCACTATCGACATTTGGGTTGGGGCAGAATAATTCTTTGTTGGGGCGCTGACCTGTGCATTGTAGGATGTGCATTGTAGCATCTTAGCTTCTACCCACCAGATGCCAGTAGCAACCCCGACTCCACCCCCACGCCCAGCTGTGACAACTAAAATATCTCCAGACACTGCCACATGTCCCCCAGGGACCAAAACTGCCCCGTCAAGAACCACTGGTTTAAAGTTTCTCCAGGGCTAAGAGTCTATACCTAATCTTACCTGTATATTAAATTTAGATTTCCCCATAATATTGTCTAAATTTCACAGCCTGGATTTTTAACTGTTAATAAAACTTGTAGAGAAAAGGAATGGCTTTTTGGAACAAAAGGTAACACATTACTTACTAACACTGACTGTTCGTGGTCTCTTGACAATTAGGGCACACGGCCCCTCAGCCCAGAAGTCCAGGTCCCTTTGTGGGGCACAAAGCTGGATGCTGAGGGCTGAACCCCTGCCCACGACAAGCCATGAGGCTCTCCAGTCTCCCATGATCCCAAGCCCAAGGTAGACACACTTGGGATCCAGGCCACGGCCAGTGGTCCGGCCTCAAACCCTCTCACTACAGACACTGCAAGGTGTTTTCTTGGCCCCTCGGAGGAGACATCTGGAACGCTGACCGACAGTCACAACAAGGCTCTGAGGACTGCTGTGAAGGGGAACGGGCAGCAGGCTTCCGGGAGGCTGATGGAGGGAGCCTGCACCTCTGCACTGCGGCCTGAGGTCAACGAAGGGCAGAGGCTGAGAGCTTATTTCCTCTCTAGTTTCAAGTTCAAACTTGGCTGAAACTCTCCAAGTCCTCACAGTGACTTTGGGCATCAATGCGGGAATTTCAAGATCCTGCCTGGAAAAAAATCTACCCAGTTTCCCAGGGCACTGTAATGAAAACAGGACAGCGTTGATACAACAGCAGGTGACACCACCAGGTGTGAGTCTGCTCGGAAGGTAAGTTTTCTGGAATGCCAGAGGAGCAGGAAAGAGAAATGTTGGAGCACCACCGCAGGTGAATGTTTCAGGGCCAGGCCCTCAGAAAAGGGTAGCCTATTTTTGTATATGATATCCTTGCAAATAAAAATAGTAATTTTCCAGAACCTGCCTACTTCAACCCAGGGTTCCCCGTCAGTGACAATGGAGGTGCGGAAGTGCGGAGGGCTGGGCTGGCCTGGGTATTTCCTTTCTTGCTAATCACAGTCTATCAACGACTCCAAAACATGCCCAGTTAAACCCACATCTAGCCCACAGACCAGGTCCCCTGGGCCAGATAAGGCGTAGTGGATAGCTCCATCCATGTGCATTGAATGGCTTTTTGTTTTAATCAGAGCCCTCATTGTTTATACAGCCCTCTTAGGACCATACAAATAAAATGATTTTCCTTCCATCCTGATTTCAACTACTTCCTTTTGGCGACTACGCATTCCAGTCCCTGCTGCTCAGCCTTGACTTTAAAAGCTCTAAGGATGGGTTTTCTCTTTAAAACAACGCTGCTGGCCTTCTCCCCAGTCTATGGCCAAAGTGTAAGGGCTGTCGCTTCAGAAGCTCCTCGGGTGTCCCACAGGCAGAGGGTCTTACTAGAACCACCTGCAAGCAAGCCCGAGGCCGCTGAGCCCGTACCTGTGGCGAGGATCAGCTTGTACTCTTCCAGGGTCAGGCCACTGAAGCTCGTGTCCCGCGGGCGAGGGTACTGGTCGCAGGGCAGAGGGGAGAAGGGGGGAGAGGGTTAGTTCCACAGCACAACCTGGGACCTGCCATCCTGGAGAAGCCGGGCTCTGACTGCAGGCACTGGGCCACCGGAGTGTCTAGAGACCAGAGGCCCGGCAGGTGGAAGAGCAGCGCCACCTGGAGTCCCAGATGCGGCCTCGCAAGTACGGGCATCATCTGTGACCGGCGGGTGGCTCCCACTTGAACACGCACAGGATCCTCTGGGCAAGTGCAGGCTGCCACTCAGGACCGGGCTGGGCCCACGAGTCTCTAACCAGCTCCCAGGGGATGCCCCTGCTGCTGCTCTTGAGCCACACACTGAGCTGCGAGGACTTAGCATCCTCTTCCACGCAGGCGAGGCACTGGCCATGGGGCCAGGTAGGTTTAGCTGCTCACATGGAAGATAACACAATAATTGATAAGTAATAACACAGGAGTAATCTCTGTGTTTCTCGTACTCACACCCTAACCCTACGTGGCCCCACCCTGCGTATGTGGGGAATTACTGAGCAGTTTCAAGCCTGCAAACCACACTCAGTGGGATCTGACAG